TTGGACATGGTCGGTTCGAGGATCGATTCGAGGGCCGGCCCGTCGATGATGTGTGATGTATGCGGTCTAGGGTAGGCTGGTTTGTCTTGGTCCAATTTGATGTCGGCTCCCGCGCAGGCCATCAAATTGGACCAAGATTATATGATATGGGTTACTCTAGGGTAGCTGAAAATCCCCATAAAACAAACTAATAAGTCAATAACCAAATATGGAAGATGTTACTACTTATAGAATTGAATCCCAGGATGGAACATTATTTAACCGAATTGGCCGGAGACGGCCGCGTTGAATATCTGGTTGCTGTATTATGCGACAGCCACGTATGTGTTGTTCTTTGACAACATATCCTCCCTTCCGTCGGGAGGCGGGTTTGACTCCTTTGATCAATGAATCTCATGATATCCTTCTCTGTTGGCGAGGCACATCCGTGTGCCACAAATATCAATAATCAGGCCAATCCGATATCTTCCCTTTGTCGTGCAGCGGCCCCACCTTTACCCGACAATCAACGTTGTGGCTGCATCACCCCGCATTCATCCGCGATGGTGTGACGCATGTTACTTGTGTCATCGGCTGAGATCCGCTTATGGCAAACGCGTATAAAGTCACGTGTCACACAACACCCATTACCCGGCCAGATTAATCTCTGTGCCGAAGGCACTCATGTTGTGCTCCGTTCAACAAGGGCTTGGTCGAGTTCGATGTCGGCTCGGGTAATTGTGATTGGCTAGCCTGCAATGGCGGTTTGCTGCATTGGTAGTATGGAGGCCCTTACCTTTTCCCGGCCAATTAAAATCGCCCCGGCACTGGTACTTTGGCCCATACTACAACCGGCCTAGCAGTTAAGTAACTATCCCTTTAAGTACTACAAGCCTCCACTGGGGTTAAATAAGGTATTGACCAGAACCCAAGCGAATTAAAGGTAAATCCTGTACGGAGCAAAGATGGTCCATTTACTCAGATTCTGGCCTATGCCTCTCTTGACCCTAGTGGAGGCCTGTGGCACTTAATGAAATAAGGCTGAAGTATGTGGCGTTAAATAGTTTCAGCACCCCAGCCTCTCATAAGCAAAATCATAGCATAACTCGCTTAAAACGATGCTTTTAAACGTCATGTTTATTTAAACATGGGCCTGTGCTTGCTGATCTTTATTTCCTTTGCAATTGCCCTATAAATATCACACCTGGTGTATTTATTAGTCGTCGTCTTAATGGTTCGGACCTCTCCATTACGGCGCCTGACGACTTTCCAAGGTTACACCAGCATTCGGCTTCAACTGCGTCCAACAAGGGCAAGAAAAAAAAGATCCCAACGTGGAATGCCAGGAAGCAAATGCCAGCGATGCATTCGCTTCCGCCTAATATCGCAGCTCAGAACAAAGGCCCTGCTATGATTGCAGTTATGTACTCATTCACTGCCCTTTCATCCATCACTGTCGTAGGCAGGGTCTTTTCGAGGTATAAGAAGCTCGGTCACTTAGCCATCGATGACTATGTTATAATTCTGTCTCTTGTTGGTTCCCTGTTTTGTTCTCTATAATGCAATTACCCCACTTCAGCAACCACAGGCGATGGAACAGGAACCACCGCTGAACGCTCAATAGGGGTTCGTATTTGCCTACGTAGGCTGCTGGACTGCTGCTATCTTAGCCGGCAGCGGCCGCCACGAGGCGACGCTGACAGTCGCCGAACTCGATCGTTCTATATTCTTCTTCATGGTCGGCCTGGTCCCAGGCGTGTTGTCGCTCGCGCTACCCAAGTTCGCCGTCGTCAATCTACTGATCAAGGTCCTCTTCCCATCACCTCTTCATAAGCGGTTGCTTTGGAGCCTCCCAATCGCAAACATTGTCCTCATGCTCGGCGCCTTCGGCGTCCACTACTCAGAGTGCGACCCGCCATCGGCTCGATGGACTTTATATGCCCCTGCCAAGTGCCGTAGCTCGACTGGTACAATCGTCTATTCGGTTGTTGTGGGATGTAAGTGGGCCCTTATTCTCGGGAGCGGAAGTAGAGGTGTCTGATATACTAATGTAATGGGTGGACAAACGGCAGCATTTTCGGCTGTGGTCGACTTCTACCTCGCTATATACCCAGCCATAGTGTTATGGTCCCTACACATGCATCTGAAAAAGAAGCTGGCCCTCAGCGTAGCCCTTGGCTTCGGTGCTTGGTTTGTATCCTGCCGCGAGCTACTCCCCGTCAAGTCACGACACGGACTGATATCTGCGCTAAGTGCTGGCTGTGCTGCCGTACGCAAGGTCATGGAAGTTCCAAGCATGGGAGATGGTACAGATTATACTTGTGAGCTTGCACCCTCCGCTTAACAGCACAACGTCGACACCCTTACTAACGACGTCCTGGGTGACCAGATGATTCAGGGAGCCTCGTGATCTGGATAACGTAGGTAGTCTTCCTAATATAATTTAGCATATTGCCATTGACCTATTCCTATTATTCGCAGTATCGAGACAAACAGTGTCATAATTGCCGCCTGCATCCCTATGCTCCTGCCCTTCCTTGAACTATTATTTGGGAAGAAATTCTTATCCGCGCCCGTTCCATCATCCTTAAATCAAATAAGTAACGCGAGGCCTGGAAGCAGGACGAGAAATATCACGGCAACCAACAAGTCAGTCGAGATAGAGAAGCGGAGAACAAGCGATGAGGTGGAAGAACGCATGGGGTCTGTCCTGCTCCTTGAGGAACCGAGCCACGACGAGGAACGCGGCCAGAACCAGACGGCGGACAATATTCGTCAACGCAAGCCACAGCTTACATAGCATGCTATTATTTAAACTAGAATAACATCGCATAATAAGCAAGTTAATGTATTACGCAGTCAAAGTGCACGTCAGATCATGTATAGTTGCAATAGCCATACAGTATATTTATTTAAAATAATGTCTGAAGCCCTCTTAGGATCATTTGACTTTCCAAAGGCGGTCCGCTATATCTACGAATGTAAGTTCAATTTCTTTTGGATATTGTCTAAGGTCACTGAGGCAACAGTTTTCATATCGCGAACCTTCCAACTGCACATGCGCCGCGTATACAGAGATGAGAGATTTTGCATATCGTTAGATGGCTTCTAGGCCAAATACCCATGCTCCTGAATACGCATCTCTAATCCGGGTTGCCTTACGCAGCTTGATGTTGCTTGATCCGGCAGGATGAGACGACGAAAAGTTACGTTGGAATGCCTGCGACATGGAGTCATCTTCATCTTCAGTTCTGAAGGGCGCATGGAAGACTGACTTTTAAATGAACGGAGATGTAATATCCGCTCTACGTCGCCAGCAGGAGGATCCCCATTGCTACCTCCGTGAATGCAGCTATTCGCGAACCAATGTATCAAGCTGAAAGAAAAAGGCGGCCGCAGGGACCCCTAGATGGATTCTAGTGGGGGCGCCTAAAAGCTCCCGCTTGACCTCGTCCTTCCTAGACTCAGTTCTCGGATCATCTTGACTCTAGCACGCGGCACGGCGCTGTACTGCAAGCGCCGTCGCTTGGGCCGTTCAGATTCATCGGTAGACGGGTCTGTATCAACGCCTTGACTGCTCTCGAAGATCCTGTGGAACCTATATTGGTCAATGGTGCTCAAGCTCGCGACGTCCCATTCACACACTTGCGGAGGTGGTCAGCTGCCAAACTCGTAGCAGCAGCGGCGAAGAACTTGGGCTGACCCTACTGAACCAATTACCACTGTAATGGCACCAAATACCATTTTTTGCGGCCCATGCACCTCCCCCTTTCGGTTTTTCTGATACAGTAAAGATCGAAATCGGTTGTCCATCCGCACACTCTCTTTAACTTCTAGCACACGGGCCAAACTTACGGGGTGTATATAGTAATCACTGGTTTTACTGTGCTTGGTGTATCCTGGCGGCCAAGCCATAATCGGGCGACCCACGGCAGTGTTACTCCACAGGCTGAAAGCTGCTTTATTTCACTCTTAGTGGACAATGTACTCCTGCGCTTCCCACTTCTTTGTTAGCATTTCATCGGTGGAAACCCAACATATGGTCAGATTGATTACATTTCCTCACCAAGGACCGACACCTTAGACTCTATTACTGCACCGGCCCCTTCTAACCTCTCATAGCAGTACTGCAGCAGGTCTTGTGACAAATGCCGACTGGGATCATCCTCTGCTAATATCTCTGCCTCAACCGCAACCACATGTTCCAGCATCTCGATAGCCTTCTTCGTCTGGCCATCGTAAAGGTATGCTCGTGCGAGCTCGTGCTCTGATGTCAGTCGATCTGGGTGATCTTTTTCCAGTATCCTGGCTTC